GCAGGTGCAGTGTAGACGCACCCTCCTCTTTACTCCCCTTATGCTCCTCCCAAGCCCTGTCTCCTTGTCAGGGAGGCTCCCCGTACTAGGGATGGATTTGGAGGCTTCCCCCTATGACAAGGGGGGAGGGAGGATCTGGCTCAGTGCCCCCCTGGGAGGCTACTCCCCTTAATCCGGGGGTGGGGGTGGAGATGAGAGGGCCCTGGAGCGCCCTCCGTGTGGGGCCGGAACGGTAGTTCCCCGGCTCCTTGTTTCCCGCCTCCGCGGGGGGGAAGGTTACACAAACGGGACCAAGATGGCGGCGCCCAGCGCTGCTGCCCCGGAGAGCGAGGAGGGGCCCGGGGGTAAACCGAAGTCCCCAGCCGTCACCCCGCAGAAGATCCGGGAGCTGATAGACGGGGGGATCGCCCCGGAGGAGCCCGGCCTGGAGGGGTGAGCGGGGATCGGGGGGGCGGGGGGAGGGACATCACAGCTGCCCCTGGGTCATCTCCCTGGTTACCCCCCTTGGCACCTGCGTTGGGCCCAGTGGCGGGGGGGCTGCAGCCCCCCCACAGGGTCAGCCAGGCCCCCAGCGTGGGCCCCGTCACGGCCTCATGGGCCCAGACAGGCGAGGCGTCCCTCTCAAGCCGGGCTGGAGTGAGGGCCCCCGGGTGGTCCAATCCCTCGCGGTCCGGGGGGATGGACCTGGCAGAGGCTTTAGGAGCATTGTAGTCCGAGGCCTCTCGTTTGCCTGGCCAAAGGCAGGCGTCTGCCCGTTCAGCCCTGGCATCTCGGAGGAGGCCGGTGTTTGCCTTGCGATGGGCCCTAGTGTCGCTGCCACGTTGTCAGGACAGCCCTTTGGTTGGGTCCAGTCAGTGGTGAGCTCCCAAAATCCTAAGAACCGGTTCCCTACCGGGTCCCCGGCAGCACTTTGGCGGGGGGCCTTCACTCACTCCGGGTTTTCAGCGGCATTTCGGCGGCAGGTCCTTTACCCGGAGCGAGTGAAGACCCCTCCCCCCACACCACCGAAGTGCCGCTGAAGACCTGGTAGGGAACCGCGCAGTGAGTACAAGCCCCACATGCCTGTCTTCCCCCCCCCCCGACCACTACCCAACTCGCCCCGCTCCCTGTCTTCTGACACCCCCCCTCCTGAGACCCCCCACCCTAACGACCCCCCAGGATCCCACCCCCTGCCCAACTCGCTCCGCTCCCTGTCCCCTGACTGCCCCAACCCCATCCACCACCACCCCGACAGACCCCCAGAACTCCCACACCTACCCAACCCCCCTGTTCCCCATCCCCTGACCGGCCCCCCCCCGAACCTCCGCCCCCTCCAACCGCTCCCTGCCCCTTATCCAATCCCTCCTCCCAACCCTGGTTCCCTTACTATGCTGTTCAAAGTGGCAGGAGCTGCAGAGCTGCCCAGAGTGCTGGCGCCAGCGGCGCGGTGCGCTGGGGCTCTGCGAGGGGGGGGGAAGCGGGGGAGCCTCCCCTGCTGGGAGCTCAGGCGAGCCGGACAGGACGGTCTCACCCGCCGGCCCCTTTAACAACCGGTTCTACACCGACTTCTAAATTTAACAACCGGATCTTGCGAACCGGTGCGAACTGGCTCCAGCTCACCACTGGGTCCAGTTTGCACAAGCCTTTGTGTTTACAGCAGCTGACTCTCAAGTGGATTTCTTTTCCCATTGAGAATCAAAATTGACGCCCTGTGTGGCTAGACTTAAGCACAGCCCCGGTTATGAGTGGTGAGGAAGTGTAGGAGCTGAAGATGGCCCCCAAGTTTTTTGGCTGGGGTGACATGGAGGGTTGTGGTATTTTTTAAAGGTGACCAAGAATGGGTGGAGTGGGGAAGGTTTCAGAGAGGATATTAAAAGTCCAGATTTGGCAAAAAGTTAATTTAAAATTGACAGCAACGTATCAAGTAGGTGAAGTCTATGTACCAGGCTCTGATGTGGAATTGGATGGAGGCTCACAAACGAAGAAAAAGGTTTGTAATTCATCAGTGAAAAGTTGGTGGTTGAAACCATCTAGCAAGAAGATCTAAAGGGAGAAGAGGCCAAGACAAGGGGGGACTCTCACATGGAGAGGGGAGGAGGAAGACCTACCAAAGGAGTTGTCGAAAGGAAAAATTAGAGAAATAGGAGGAGAACCAGGAGAGGACAGAGTTATAGAAGCCAACAGAGCACAAGATTTTAAGGAGGGTGTTATTGGTGGTGTCAAAAGCAGCACAGGCTCAGTGAAGGCCTCTGGGTGCTACCATAAGGAAATATTAAATAAGAAATTCACACTTTTTCTTTTACAATGCCTCACAGTCTTTTTTTCACCCCAGAAGCTAATGTAGCCTCGAGATGGGAAGAGAACAGTGTCGTCTTGCTCACAGTCTTGTGCCCTGTCATAGAATCCTAGAACTGTAGGACTGGAAGGGTTGAGGTTGAGAGGTTATCTAGTCCAGTCCCCTGCACTCAAGGCAAGACTATGTAGTAGCTAGACCAGGGGTTCTCAAACAGGGGATTGGGACCCCTCAGGGGCTCATGAGGTTATTACATGGGGGGTTGTGAGCTGTCAGCCTCCACCCCAAACCCCACTTTTCCTCAAAAGTTTTTTTTCTCTTACTTAATTGGCCTCTCAGAGTTGGTAAGACAACTCCCACCTGTTCATGCTCTCTGTATGTGTGTATATATATCTCCTCAATGTTTCACTCTATATGCATCCGAAGAAGTGGGTTGTAGCCCACGAAAGCTTATGCTCTAATAAATTTGTTAGTCTCTAAGGTGCCACAAGTACTCCTGTTCTTTTTGCGGATACAGACTAACACGGCTGCTACTCTGAAACTTTTCCTCCAGCATTTATAATAGTGTTAAATATATAAACAAGTGTTTTTAATTTATAAGTGGGGGGTTACACTCATAATCTTGCTATGTGAAAGGGGTCACCAGTACAAAAGTTTGAGAACCACTGAGCTAGACCATTCCTGACAGATATTTGTCTAACCTGTTCTTAAAAATTCCAATGATGGAGATGCCCCAGTCTCCTTAGGCAATTTGTGCCAGTGCTTAACTATCCTGATAGTTAGAAAGTTTTTCCTAATGTCCAACCTAAACCTCCCTTGCTGCAATTTAAGGCACTGAATCATGCTGCTCCATTGCAAAGTTCTCAGATTTAGTATCCGTTTTCCATATTACTTCACCAGATTTGGGAAAGAGGTGGGGGAACCCTCATGGCAAATGCATATCACCAGCTATTACTGATCAGTGTCAGGAGCTTGAGCGCTGATGTTTAGTGTACATCTTTGTTCCATTTTCTCTTAATTGGCCTTTGTTTTGTTATCACTTCTTAGAATCTGGGGTTTGTAGGGCTTATGGAAGAAATTTGTTTGGAGGTTAAGCTTGAAGGGTGAGATTGGTAGAGGTGTTGTGGTAATATGCATTTTTCTAGAACATTAATGAAATCTTTACACAGAGGGCAAAGGGACTTTGCTTGCTGACCTGTTGCTTTATTTTAGAAAGGACACATCTGCCTTGTCAGAATCAACTAATGGCTCTTCACAAACGGATGCTCTTCCTTTTGAGACAACTAGTAAAGAAGCCTTCTTCAGCAGAGTAGAAACGTTTACTATATCCTTTTTGGTGCTGAGCTTTCTGTATCAAAAGCTGACCTACCCCCTGCACTCCCGCCAAAAACCAACCCAGAATTTCTCCTGTCAGTCAGTCCCCATGCGTGTCTCTTCACCCAGCCACTCCGTTTCTTAAAAGGTGGAAACGGTGTCCTTCAATAAAGACCCAGGTGAATTGTTTGGTTGGCCCAAGTATTTAGCTGAATACAGTTGTGATGTCTCTGTATTGTTGTCCTTAACATGAGCACTCTTTGAAGTGGGCAGGCAAACCTCATGAGCTGTCCCCCCTGATATGTGCCAAATATGGATGGACCAATATAGAGAGTGACATGCTGAAGTGCTCCAGCTGCCAGGCCTTCCTCTGTGCAAGTTTGCAGCTGGCATTTGACTTCAACAAGTGTACGTACCACAGTCTCTCCGTACGGCTGATCGCTTTGTTCCTAATCTGGAAATAAAACTACAGATTTCACGGCAAAGGGCCTAGAGCAGGCACCTAAATTCATACTTGGGCATTTACATTTGGTATTTTCTCTGGAAGCTGGGGCCTCTCTGAAAATGGAGCCGCTTGTTTAGCATGTTTAAGTTCATGCACCCAAGTTTAAAAACACCCTTGGGTTTTAAAGATCATAAAACCTCCTGCTTGAGGGCATCAACTGAGCTCTACTACCAGGGGCTGGGAAGAGATTTCCCGAGGGGCAGATTATTCCACTGCAGGGTTACTTGCACCATCTCCTGAAGCAGCTGGTAACTGACCACTGCAGGGACGATCTTTTTGTTCCGTGCTTGGACAGCGCCTAGCACAAAGGTATCCTGGTCCTTGCGTCGGGCTCCCAGATGCTATGGCCATACAAATAATAATGGGCCACTGCTCTGAGCCAGTCTGGCATTTCCTTTGTAACAAAGAATTTATGGGGAATTGTTAGCAGTTATAAAGTGAACATAACAGGTAGAGAGAGTTTGTTGTTTTTTCTAGTCTAGCAACCAATCTCAAGTTTTTCCCTTAGCCTTGGAGTACGATGGTTTCACCGCCCTTTAACTTGCTCTCCTTCCCTGTACATTCCTTTGCCTGGAGACCATATTAACCCACACCCACAATTGAAACTGGTGCTTTCAGCTTCTTTTGGTCAAGCAAACGCTTCCGGCCAGTGATTCTCTCTCCTTTTTGTGGCTACTATGGAGATGAATACATCAGCGTGTGATAAATAACAATAATTTATCCATTCGTATCACTTTGCTTTAAATAAGTAACTGATCTTGTTATTTGCATGTCCACTAGGGGGCATATAATTGGTTGCATAACACATACCAACACTTGGATTACTAATGATGTCTGATTGAGGCAACTTGTGGTTGTGTTTTATCATGCGTCTCTTTTCGGCCCTTTTTTTTTTTTTCCCCCAGTTTCATTCAGACTGTTGACCCCTCATTGTTAATTAAATAGTCACTTTAAGTAGCTACTGGTCAAATTAGTGTATTGATAATAGTACCTGCTTAGAATCATATATTCTTTGTATTACTGTAGCATCTCCAACGGTGCTAGGCGCTGTACAAACACAGAACAAACAGGTGATCCCTGCCCCACAGAGTTTACAATCTAAGTAACTTGAGGCGATCAAAGCACAGGGTAGAATTTTTTCATTTTATTACTAAATGACTTGGTTCTGTGGGCAGGAGAGGGGGAGGGGTTTGATCAACTTAAAAGGAGAATTAAATGTATCCTTAGCCAAGTCCCCATCACCTGGATTGGCAAACTCCAACGGTTTCATGGTGACCACTTGGGAGCAATGTGCCAAAGGAGTGGGAGGGTTTGTGGCTGCAGGGAGGTGGAATAGGTTTTGCCTGGCTGAGAATGTCCCCTTCTTTCCCTCGTAACCCGCCCTGCTCCCCACTGCTGCTGGTTCCTGACTGCTCCCTCAGAGCATGAACCAGTGTGGGAAGAGAGAGCAAGGATGAAGGTAAGACAGGGCAGGGAGAAATGAGTGTGGGGCCCAATAGAGTTATCTGCAGGGAAGAAGAGCTGGTGGGGCAGAGAGTATGAGGCAGTCTGCCCCCAACGGGATGGGGTTCTGCTATAGGACGAGGGGAAAGGAACGGGAGGTGGTTTAAGATGAGACGTTAAATCTTCAGTCAGTAACTGTTCAGGGTTTCTGCTGGGCAGATTTGTATGCAGCCATCCATGCAAATATCAGTCAAAATGACACCACCTTAGACATTAGAGCTATGGACACCCTGTTAGCTCTCCTCCAGCCATCCCTCTGCCAGTGCGGTGTCTTCTCCTGAGCTTTGTCCAACTAGATTGAAATGTCCCACACGCTTCCTGTGGAAGATTATCCCGCAGCTACCTAGCTTTCAGTGCTGTTTGCCTTTCAGACAAGGAGAGGTGTGCGGCGCTGAAGAAAGCTTTGTGTACTGCCCACGAGAAGTTCTGTTTCTGGCCAGACAGCCCCTGCCCAGGTAGGTGTCACTACGTCCAACCTGGGCAACAGTCCAAGAATATGCTCTTTCTTCCTTTCTGGTCTGACTGCCCTCTCCTTTTGTATTGGCCTTCTCATAGCATTGCCTTCAGTAGCACCTACCTACGAGGTTGTTACAGTCCCTTTTTACAGAGAGAGATGACTGTTAAAAACTATAATCGGGATGTGGAGGGGATTGCATGACTTAGGGCATGTGTAAAGGGTTAGATAATTTATCTTTTTTACAGCCCTCACTTCACTAGGAAGTTGAGCCACGTTTCAGCAATGGATCAGGCTTAAAGGTGACCTGAAAAAGAACAAAATTGTAGGTCCATGCTCCTTTTTGTGCTTGGCCTTTTAATGGCAGGAAGACCCTTATTTTTAATTTGGCATCACTGATGCCTGTTCTCTCTCTCTCTGTGAAATGACGAGAGGGCAGGGATCTGCATCGAAACTGAAGCCTCCTGCTTTTTGCTTCCTAATAGATCGCTTTGCTGTTTTACTGGTTGGCGAGCCCATAGCCCTCGTCAGTGACTTCCTGGATCGCTTTCAAAGCCTGTGTCAGCTAGAACTTCAGCTGCCCTCTCTGAAACCAGAGGATCTGAAAAATATGGTGAGTTTGTGCTCACCATTGGGAGAAGTGGGAAAGGTCAGATGAAGATGCCAGGCACTATCTAAATCCATATAAAAATGACAGTAAGGTTGAGACGTCAGAAGCCAAGAAAGGCTAAAGTGACAGTTGCCTGGGTAACCTTAGCTCTGCCCCTTGCGCATGCATCGTCCTACAGTTTTAATAGTCTGCATGAGTAACCTGAGGCGCTCGCTGATGTTTGAGCGCTTCATTTTGCAACCGCAGCGTTCTCCTAACAGAGGTTTTGGTGTGGAATTTCCTAAGGTTTTTTAAAGACGGTTTTCAAAATTGTGTCCAGTAATTGCACAGTTTGGGGAGGCAGCCCCCGAAAGTGGGTTTACATGTCCCAGTGTTGCAAATGTGCATAAAGATGTCAGCAGCCTCCGGTTCCCACTGCTTCATGTGGAAACGCTTCATGGGAAGGAGACGGGGGACTCCTTTTTGTACAGCATGCCCTTAGCTGCAGAGGGAAGGAGGCCAGCCCTACCAGCAGACCCTCACCTCATTAACAGTTACTCGCATTAATCAGTGAGGTGTCCTGAGCAGGAAGTAGCCACCAGCCTTGTCTCGTTAGCTGCAAGGTGATTGTAAGATAGAGCGACCAGAAAGTCGCAGCCTATAAACTCTCATCTTCTAATGGTTGCCCAGAGCACTGGGTCTAGTGCCCATCAGCCATGTACCAAGGCCCATTGCTATAGTCAGGTGTTTGGTTGTCTCTCAATATGACACCAGGGTGGAACTTATTTGCTGGAACCAAGGGTTCATCAGTTGGTTGGAAAGGAATAACAGTGGAGATGGTTGACTTAGCTACCTCCATGGATAGCATATATATTGGCTTAGGTTTAAAAGCCATAAGGGGCGTGGGCAATAGGTGTTGCCAAGGCAATGGGCACTGAGCACATTTCTGTATCCCATCTGTGTCCTTCCTAATGTTCTGTTCTGAAAAGGGCCTCCCCGACAATGGGACCCTGGGGCTCCTTCCTCATTGTGTCTCAGTGATTCCCCATCAGTGTACTCAGTTTACACACACACACACTGCCCCCGCCCTTTGGGATCTGAGAGTCAAGCTGGGTTCATTCTGGCTCCTGCATCCTCGCCAGTAACGAAGATTCTGCAAGCCACATTCCACTTTCCATTTCACCTGTGCGGCCTTCTGGGGGGTGGAGGTTAGTCCGGCGATCAGAACTTAGTTCATGATTCTGTTGCTCGTGCATGAGGCAGGATAGAATCCATCCCCCTCTCTGTGTTGGTTCTGAAGAGCTAAGAGGAGTAGAACCTTACAACAGTCGCTAACGTCAGCAGCCCTGATTCTGAAAACACCCAGGGAACCCATCTGAGGAGTAAGAAGGTGACATTTTTTCCCATAGCCACTTTCCTGATTGCAACATTGTAATCATTTATTTGTAGTACAGTAGTGCTGAGATCAGAGCCCCGCTGTGCTAGGTGCCATACAACTAGAGACAGTCTTTGCTCCACGTGTGCCCCGTGTATTGGAACTCTGTTTGAGGGAGCCCAAGCATGGCTCCTGACCCTCCCAAACCGTGACTGAGTCATGTGTCCTTTGCAGTCCTTGACAGAAGATAAAATCAGCCTTCTCCTGCATCTGATCGAGGAGGAACTCGAATGCAAAACCGAAGGGGAGAAAACACCGATGAAATTGGGCTCTGACCTCTTTCAAGTACATGTCCCCGCCTGCATCCTGGCCCTCTGCGGCTGGGCTTACAGGTCAGTAGGCGACTAATCTCGGACGGTGAAAGCTAAAATGCTGTTTGTAAATATCAGAGACACACTTCAAAATGTAGGTAGCACTTTGCTAAAATTTGCTATGAAACCTGTCAGAAACTGAGGGGGCTGGAGCACAAAGGACTGTCCTCTCCAATATTGCCTCTCTAGGGCCTGAGCTTCCAGTGTTTAAAAAGTGTCAGCCTCTAGCTCAGAGGTTGGCAAACTACGGCCCGCGGGCCACGTCCTGCCAGGCCCTTGAGCTCCCGGCCGGGGAGGCTAGCCCCCGGCCCCTCCCCCGCTGTCCCTCCTCCCCCGTAGCCACGCCGCCACGCGGGCAGCGCTCTGGGTGGCAGGGTTGTGCACTCCTGCCGAGCAGCGCGGCAGCGTGTCTGGCTCCCGGTGGTGCAGCTGCCAGACATGCTGCTCTGAGCGGCATGGTAAGGGGGCCGGGGCCGAGGGGTTGGATAAGGGGCGGAGGGTCCCGGGGGACAGTCAGGGGACAGGAAGCAGAGGGCGGTTGGATGGGGCAGAGGTTCTGGGGGGCGGTCAGGGAACAGGTGGGGTGTTGGATAAGCGTGGGAGTCCCGGGGGGCCTGTCAGGGGGCGGGGGTGTGGATGGGGGACGGGGAACGGGGGG